CCCAGACCCATCAGCCATCTCTGTAAATGGGACCTGATCCCCTCCCAGACCCATCAGCCATCTCCATAATGGGACATGATTCCATCCCAGACCCATCAGCCATAGTCTGTTCCTTCCTTGTCACTGCAGGTGCCATGGGAGCCTGGTCTTTAACTTCTACAAAAATCTTGGCCACATATTTGCAGGAATGCTAGGAAAATCAAGTTTATTTTCCTGTTCTACAATTCCTTCTCCCTAAGGAGAAGACCCAGAGCCTTATTAGTAAAGAAGAAATCAGAAACAACAAAAACATTATTATTGCTGTGAAGGTCAGAAGCATTACAGATCAGCACCACTGCCTCTTACTTGTCATGGGTAGAAAAGGGTAGACCTCTGCCAGCAGGCAGTGAAATGCCAGCTGTTTGCCCTATTGTCTGAGTCCTCATAGGATTTCAAACCCAGGCTGAAGCTAGACAATCCCATTTTCTTTTCTTTTTTTTTTTTTAATGACAGAGTCTCACTTTGTGTCCCTTGGTTGAGTGTAGTGGCATCACAGCTCACAGCAACTTCCAGCTCTTGGGCGTAGGCGATTCTTTTGCCTCAGTCTCCCAAGTAGCTGGGACTACAGGCGCCCACCACAATGTCTGGCTATTTTTTGGTTACAGTTTGGCAGGGGCAGGGTTCAAACCTGCCACCCTCAGTATATGGGGCCTGGTGCCCTACTTACTGAGCTACAGGCGCCACTGACAATGTCATTTTCATTGCTCACATTACCACTGTGTCCTGACATGACACACTTTGTGCAGGGCCACCTGGGGAAAGTTCTGTGTTCTGTGGTTCTATTTGTGCTTTATTCCACCTCTGGTCCCCAAACCCAGCTTGCATCCCAACACAGTTGGAAAGAGCTTCCACTTTGATTCTCAGAAAGGGACTTCCATTTTAACTACGTGCTTTTCAGAGTTCATGGGTCCATGGGAGAAACTTGCTGAAGCATTTATCATACTAAAGGTTTTGAGGGGAAAAAAAGTATGCTGAGTCAAACATGGACATGATATGAGTAAGTATGCAAAATTTAAACAAATGCTTAAGCAAACATTATAGCTATTGAAAAAACTTCTTTCCTGGGGGTGACAGGGTGTGGCGTCCCAAGCCTGCCAGGGTCCTTCATTCACTATTCTGGGCTGTCAGAAAAGCTCCAGGATCACGGAAACATCTCTGGATGCCACTAGAGGGTACTCACGCTTTAATTTTAAGAGCCCAGAGGCGGGCGCATAGTTTCCTTAGATACCACAATCTAACCCTACTTGGGCTGCAGAGACCAAAGTGATCAGTCCCTTTAGATAGCCAGCTGGACGGGTTGCAGAGTGGGCCTGGGGAGTGCGGGGCAGTAATGAAAAGGGTGTGAGCTAGAAGTGGGAGGCCTTGACACCTGACCACAGGCCAGCCTGGGCACCTCGGTCCACTTGCCTTTATTTCATGGCTTCCTCATCTGAAAGATCAGAGATTTGGGCTATAATGAGAATTTTGAATTGTGCCATGAAAGACGCTCTCAGGGACAGATATATCCCTGGGCTCAGGGACAGGGAGGGATGGTAAAAAGTCCTCCTTCTACTCCAGGGGCCCTCAAACTTTTTAAACGGGGGGCCAGTTCACTGTCCCTCAGATTATTGGAGGGCCAGACTGCGGGCCCTGGGATGAGTCAGCTGCTAAGCAGGACAGGCAGCAGTGGCAAAAACACCCAGTGAGCTGGATAAATGTCCTAGGTGGGCTGCATGTGGCCCGCGGGCTGTAGTTTGAGGATGCCTGTTCTACTCCAAATGCAGCAGCTTTTTCCTATCTATTTAAGATTCTTTTGAGGAACAGGGTGATGGCCCTTAAGAAAACATTGAAAACAGGGGGGCTAAGTAACGTCTGGAGTGACAAGATAGGTTGTCAATCACCCATTCTACTATTCCATCTTCCTTCCTGTCCTTTCTGCCAACACCAAGCTTTCAGGCAAACCTAAGCATATTCCTCTGGGTTTTTTTACAGGTGTGCTACCTCAATTGTCCTGAGACAGAATTTATGAAACCTTGGTGCTGGGCAAAACCCTAGGAAGGGTCTCTTCCCTTATAAATGGGAGGGATCAGGTCAGGGATGGACAGGCCTGCTTATCTGCAGCAAAATCTAGGTTTGGCTGATGGTGGTCAGAGGCCAGGCAGGTAGGACTCCTGGATGGCACTGACACGGCCATGAAGATCCCCCTCCCTACCTTCTCCACAGACCCACATACATCAATCTTGACTCAAGCTTTCAGTTGCTTGAGCTAAGGACACCATATTACCATGGCCTCCCCTTGCATTCAAGTTTCAGACCCACTCATTCATTCCTCATTTCCATTAATTCACTTACCAGGCCTATTGACCCGAGTACTTACATGCAGACAAGGACTAGGAGCTTGAGGGATGGAGACGGACTAAGACTATGTTCGTTAGAGGGTTTGCCATGCATCTCAAATGCCAAGTCCGCTGCATGTTTTTCTGTACTCTGTGAGCTCCACCTCACCCAGTGCAGTACTAGTTACTAGTCAGCTCCATGGAGTGCGGGAGGTAACCAGGGATGCTTGCCCAGGAGGCTCTTTGTTCCACTTGGCCCCTGGCTATTGTCTCCATGAGACAAGTAGCACCTGAGTGCCAGGTAATAGTTCTCCAACTTTGCCCCTGCAAACATCTTCCCTCCACGGAATTGACTGTCTAACTGATGGCCGGCACCTGCTCTCTCTCACGATCATCCTGCAAATTTATTGTCCTGGGGCACCATGGCATTTTACGGGCAAGAATTCTGCAAGTGAATGCAAGGTCTTGAGTGATATAATTCAGATACTTCATATTTCTTGAAAAGATTTTAACAGTGCAGTCTCACGGTGGGGGTATAATATCACATTACAAAAATGATGGGGGGTCGGAAATAGGCGAGACAAGACAAAGGAACGAGGAGGTTCTGAGTTATTTGGCGAGTGTAAGTTATGCAGAGATTGCCTCCCTGACACCAGGAACTCACCTTCGCTTGTTTTAGTCACCACACTCAGCTCAGGGATCCGAGCAGGAGAGAGCAGAATTGGGTGAAATTGTCCTTGAGATTTCACTGTAGGCCCTGAAGAGTAAAAATAGTTTAGAGACAGAAAAGAGAAAATGCCTTTTTTTTTTTTTGCATAGAAATTTTCTCATAAAGATATTCAGACACAAATTTTAAAGACTGACAATAAATGAGTATAGATGTGAAAGCAATGGTCCCATGTCCCTCCCGAGGAGATGTATAGCGCATGCTTTCCCGATATATATATTTACTTTTGCATTCATTACATTTATATAAAAATAGGAAATAAAAAGGATGAGAAGCTCTTAAAACACTCTTGCCTATAGGCCCCAGGAGACATATAGAAGAATATGTCTAATGGCCAAAACTTGGAAACAGCTGGAGCTGTCTCGGCAAGCTGTGCTTCAGCCATAGCACGGGTGAGCAGATTGTTCCGTGTTCACACAATGGAACGGGCACAGCCAAACCAACAGTATGGGTGAATCTCAGGGCAAGAATTTGGAATCAGGAAAGAAAACTGAAGAAAAATAATACAGTGTCAGTCTATATCAAGGGCAAAAATATGCAAATCGAAATGGCATATTGTCCAGTGATTCAAATAAGCACGTCAGAACCCCCTCAGAAGTAGGTATGTGGTAAAATTATAAAAATAAAGAAGAGACTGACCAGCCCAAAATTCAGGCTAGAGAGTACCTTCAAGAAGAAGGACAGGCTCATAGGAGCCTTCAAAGTTCTTTTTTTAAAAATTTGTCATTTTATTTATTTTTACTATTTTTTATTTCAAATTAATATAAGGGAATAAATTTCTAGGTTCCATTGTTCTTTCTTCTAAGGTAAAGTTCAAGTTGTAGGAGAGCCCCTCACCTGGGGGGGGGGCGTGCTGAATAACATGCATTGTGCACATTAGGCGAGATCCCACTAAATGCTCTCCCTCCTCCAGCCACTCACCCTCCTCCTCCCCCTTTCTCCTCTCCCCTCCCCCTTGCTAGACTATATTTGTGTTCTATCATTCCTATGAGTGTGGGTTTATATGTTGGTTTCATATTGGTATTGAGTACATTGGATACTTTCCCCCCTATTCTTGAAATACTAAGAAGAATGTGTTTCAACTCCATCCAAGTAAACATAAAAGATATAAAGTCTCCATATTTTTTATGGCTGCATAGTATTCCATGGTATACATATACCATAATTTGTTAATCTGTTCAGGGGTTGATGGGCATTTGGGCTGTTTCCATGACTTGGCAATTATGAATTGGGCTGCAGTAAACATTCTGGTGCAAATGTCTTTGTGGTAAAATGATTTTTGTTCTTTTGGGTAGATACCTAGTAATGGGATCGTGGGACCAAATGGAAGGTCAACTTCTAGTTCTTTGAGAATTCTCCATACTTCTTTCCTTAAAGGTTGTATTGGTTTGCAATCCCACCAGCAGTGTAGAAGTATTCCCTTCTCTCCACATCCACAAAGTTCTTGATAAAGCTTACATGCTTAAAGCAGGTGTGGGTGGTAGCTGAGTGTGCATTATAGCATTAATATCCCTACACATATTTTATAAAAATCCATTATGTTTGTTAAATATTTAACAAAAGCAAAATTAGAAAGGACACAATAAATGTTTAAACAAGCCTCTAGAATTATTTTCCCACACCTCATGGGATCACCCGGCACACTACTAGCATATCTGGTCAACCAACTTTGGAGACTACTGGCTTTACTATAAAGGATGAGGTTTTTGTAGACTGAGAACAGGAAGTTCTGCTTGGCATTAATGGTGGAATGGGAGGCATTGTAATCACTCACCCAGGGAGGTGTTGCCCAGGATGAGAGGGGCTTCAGGGTGTTTCACTTTCAGCTGCAGGAGATCCTTGAGGGTCCCAGGGGAGATCCAGGTAACCCTTTCTCCATAAAAGGACAGTGTTCGTTTTTCTGGATTCTCTGTCATCCTCTAAGGGCAAATGATAAGTATGTGTGCTTGTCTGCATACCTGTCCTCCTGGGTTACACAGGTCCCAGGGAACATATGCTCCCTTGGAGAGACTGCAGGGGTTCTGGGGACCACTTGCCCAAAAAGATACTCACTACACCCACTGGCTAATGCTTGAATTTTCATAATTAGATAGTTTGGGGTGCAAGTAACAGTACAAGCTGGCACTTGTCACTGATCAGTCAGTGTGGATTCCGTTTCATTGCTTGAAAAATCATAATACCCCTGCCTTATATTCAGTACCTAGAATAGTGTCTGGCATGTTGCTGAATGGGTAAATACTTGTCAGATGAATGAATAATGAATAAGCACGTCAGAACCCCCTCGGAAGCAGGTATTCCATAAATGAGGGCTGCTGGATGCCTGTGAAGAAACATGGAGATGCCGAGGGAAGGTAGGGTGAGGAACATGCAGCTTGCCCAGAAGGGCTCCTTGGGGCCAACACGGGCGTCTCCAGAGAGACGGGAGAAGCTTAGCAATGCAGAATTGCCTGCACATTCCAGATGGCAGTGAGGAGAGCAGTGAGGAAATCACTTAAAACAACAGCCTCAGATGAGGCTTCAGGGGACAGGTCCAGACCCTCAGCCAGGGCTTGGTGAGCTGGGGAGGAGGCAGGTCTCCATCTGATCAAACACTCCCACCCTTTGACAATTTCACAGGCAGGAATATGGGTGGTTTATACAACTGAGTTTTTAACTAATGCTATCTAAACAAGCAAACAAAATACCCAACTCATCTTACCAAGAGTTCTGGAGGAAATATGAGTTCCTGCGTAGGGTCCAAAGGCTGGAATTCCTCTTTCGAAAATAACTTCGTGGAGATCTTACAAAGGAAAGAAGCAGTTGGCCTTGTCAGCCCAGCTTGATTGGAAACAGTGTTGCAATTCTTCCCCAGAATTAGGCAAGATGAACATGGTAATAACTTTCCCACTCTCCTTATATAGGGAAATAGCTCAAACCAAATAATTTAAAATAAGAATCCTGTTTTAAGAGGGATACTGAAGGAAAGAAAGAGTATTCTATGAAATAGACTGTTGCAAGAAACACCAAGACTATCAGAGGTTAAGAGGCAAATCCTCTCCACTGTGCCCCCGCCACTACCCTCTCCTCTGCCAAGTCAGGACTCTAAATACTAAAAGTTCTGAGAAGTCCAGCTGTTTAAAAAGATGAGTCTAAACATATATGCCCCTGCATAAACATACATCTGCACACACACACACACACACACACACACGTACACATGCAATCTGACTTTAATAACAATGGTTAACATTTAACCTTCACAATAATCGTATAAAGAAAGTAAATGGTCTCCATTTTACCCATTAGGAAACCAAAAGACAGTGAAAAATTACCCAAACTGTTACCTTGTCTGAATCAGATCTGCTTTAGCTTTGGAAAACACTTATGGGCAGAAAACATTCCTGAGGAGGTGAGGGGCGCTGGGAGGGACCCGTAGGACACAGAGTGGGGTGAGCACTGTGGGGAAGGGGTATGTGGACAGCAGAGGCAGAGAGGTCTGTGTTCACTCACCCTTGGCTGGCCTCCAAAGAAAGATACTTAACCTCTTTAAAGATTAAATTATCCGTATTTTGAAGGGTAATTGTGATAGGTGAAAAGACCACACCTTTGTCTAATACTCTTCCCTCTAGAAGACCTATCTCTTAGGTCTTCTCGGGTTCCAGAAGGAACACTTATAACTGCTCCTTGTAAAAGTTCTGAGTAGGGCCCCAGATGGAGCCATTACAGGCCCACATGTACACAGTTTTCACATTAGTTGGCATTAGAATCATAGGCAGTAGCTGGGGGCAGTAATGTGGCACATCTCTAAAACCTAGGAAGGAAATTGTGCCTGAGAATTAAAATGTAAAACAAAGTTGAGAAACAAAGCTTCCCTAAAGGGGTCCTAGGCCAAGACTTAACAGTTACCAAGTGGAAGATATTGACAGCTTAAAGGGGTGGGGAGGGGTGGGGCCACAGGGCAGACACCTGGCCTCCCATCAGGTCTGCTCTGGTGGAAGAGCAGGGTGGCCTATTACCGCTACCCTCTGACACTATGCAACTGCCCTGGGCCCATGCTCACCAAGCAATCTCATTATAATCTGGCTTCCTGGTATGTTTTCCTACAGGGAAGGCCCGTGTGGCTCAGTGATGGCTAGGTCCACGTTACAACTACGTTTCTCTTTATACACGAACATTCCAGTTTAAATATCACGTTGGACGTTGGATCACCACTACTCAGCTCCCAAATAGCACCTGCACCTTGGACAGTGGTAAGTAAAGCTGAGAATGACCATTAAGACTAACAAGCTCAGCTGCAACTAACAGTGGGGGGACCAGGTGAGCTAAGAGACTCACCTCATTTCTCCTGCCAGGTGTGGAAGAAGCACTTTCTTCCTGATCCAAGCAGCATTGTCCTGTTCTCTTCTGTTGACAGCCATCTGAATCCTAAGAAGGTGAAGTGCCTTAGATTAAAAACTTTTGTAGTAGGTAAATTGTATGTGCTTTGAAAGATTTGGCAATTTAAATGAGGCTTCAGACTGTTAAGCCCCTTTCGTGGTTTCTATTGGAACAGGGATAATCACAAGGCGCTTCTTCTTTTGTTCTATTTTTAAAATAAAATGGTGCCTATCATATATATATATAAGATATATATGATATATACAAAAATATAGTGATGTATAAAAGAAATAAACTGGCTGGACGCGGTGGCTCAGGCCTGTAATCCTAGCACTCTGGGAGGCCGAGGTGGTCGATTGCTTGAGCTCATGATTCGAGACCAACCTGAGCAAGAGTGAGACTTTGTCTCTACTAAAAATGAAAAACTGAGGCAGGAGGATTGCTTGAGCCCAAGCGTTTGAGATTGCTGTGAGCTATGACGCCATAGCACTCTACTGAGGGTGACAAAGTCAGACTTCATGTCAAAAAAAAAAAAAGTAAACTATCATTATCCTATTTTACTGATGATATTTTGATATATTTGGGATTATGCTAGTATATTTCTATAGTATATAGTATATGAACATTTTTGTTCATTACATATATAGCTTTGTGAATACACATGCATTTTTTAGGTTAATTCCTACTGGTAAAATTAATTTTTGAGATTTTTTCAGGGCAATAGCAATTTATCAACTCTCTACCATAAACAGGGTAGACATGAAGTTTGTGTGCTTTTAAACTGCACATGAACTTTATGTCTACCCCGTATATAAGATTCAACAGCACTGAATAGTATCATTCATATAAAAGCCTTAAGAAAAATAAAGAAAAGCTTTCTGGTAACCACATCTCCCAGGCATTTGTGATCTGCCTGGGGCCATCTGGAATGAGACAATAAATTTTAAGGCTCGGGGTTTCCATTTTCTGTCTCTTTCATTTCCCATTTCTTCCTAACTTAACTCTTGTATCTTCCTTAAATAATGCTCCTAAGTATCTAGGAAAATGCATTCTCCTGACGTGTCAGTTCTCTGCCTCTGCTGAAGTGTCTCAAGCCTCCATCTTCCTAATTCTGCCCCAGAAGCAAAAACACCTGGACCAAGAAGCAGTGCTTCCCTGTCTTACTCAAAGTTCTGAGAGCTTCTGCAGTGGACCACTATGGAACAATAATGGACAAGAGCCAGTCTTCTCTTGGCCCAGTCTCTTTAAGCCTTGTGTCATCCCTCTGGGGTCAGGTTGCTTTATCCATTATAGTCCCCTGGGACCTATTGGCTACAGGGCATCTGAGCACATTTTTGCCTTTATCCCCAGAGTCTGTGGGCTTAGAGAGATGCATACCATCCGCAGGGAAAGAAGTTTCCTTTAACCCCTTTTATTTGTATCTCACAAGTGCTTTCCCGTTTTACACCAGCAATTTTCTGGGCTTACAAGCTGTTATTTTACTTCTCAGCTTGTCACCTCCTGTGGCTGTAAAAGTCTAGGACATGCACGTGCAGATGACCTGCCTGGCCCACTTCCACTGTGCGTGGAGCTGCAGAAAGGGCACAGAGGCCCAGCCCACTGCCTGCTGTCTTCCCTCCTTCCCTGGCTCTGTGCTGTGGTCTCAAAGGCCCAGTGAACACCCAGCCCGCCAAATGGCCAAAGTCAGTGTACTTCCTCCACCAGTAGCTGCTTCTTGTATGCCTTGGATCTAAGGGTGCAGACTCTGGCTGTTAAGATCTGCTCTAGATGGACTCAGGAGGGAGGATATGCCTGGTCTAGGAGTAGGGTTAAGACCATACATGGAGAATGATTTAGAAAAAAGGTGAAGCTCCAGGTGGGCAAGCCATCTTGGCCCCAGGGACTCCTGAGGTAGCTGGAAGAGGAGCAGAGAAAGGTCTTTACTGCCCATGTCCATCCTACCCCCAGCAGAGGGCCATGAGATGTGCCTGTCTGGTCCCCATGTTACTATTCCTATGTCAACAACATCTTCAATAACTGTTGAACTCTTGCTTAAGTGCCAAGCAAGACTCAGTTGGTTTTCATAACAACCCAGTGAAGTATCCCTATTTGCAGTTTTGGGCCAGGGCTGGGTTTGAACCCATCGCTTCCAGCATATGGGGCTGGCGCCCTACTCCTTTGAGCCATAGGTGCCACCCAGTATCCCTATTTTGTAGTAGAAACTCCCTGTGCTCTTGGGCTTGGAGTGGTTTGGAACCCACTCAGCATGTTTGGATTCTTTTCAGCTCACACCTGCTCAGCTGGTTGGATTCTGGAACAACCTTACCTCACCAAAGCAAACTGCAGCCCCTTGCATCCCTTTGTCACCCTGGGTTTGATGGAGCCCGACCCTCTGTCCTATCCAGATGCTTCACTTAACTGGTCATGGAGAATGCCTGGATGGCCGTTTAGATCACCTGACCTCCCTCCATGGTTTTGACTGGACACCATCAAAGGGGTGTACTATTCCCCAAACTCAGCAGTTAATGGAGCTAACTCACTCAGTCTCCCTAACCCTCTGTTGAGATGGTCTAAAAACATTCACTTCCTGTGTCCCTAGCTTTGACCAGCTGTTGCTGTCATTCCTGCTCTGTGGCTGTCCCCATAGTCAGCTACTCACCATGCAGAAGGTCCTTCCACTCTCAAGAATTGGCCGATACCCACTACAGCGGCACAGATTACCTAGTTAGAGAGGAAACATGGCTGTTGTAGGTAGGCTTTGTTTTTTCTGGCTTCTTTGGAAAGTTGAAATAGACACAGCTTTATTTATTTATTTATTTATTTATTTGAGGGAATTTTAAAGTCTGCCAAACTATCTAATACTTTTCCCCTCTGCTTGGTAATCATGCTCCCCACCACCTCAATTCCAGTTTTATTTTCTATCTCAAAGATGATGTCTAGCTGGTGCGGTCACTTTCATCCATCTATTCGTTCATTTAACGTGTATCTCTTTGACAGTAGCTATGTTTTAGATACTGGGTAAGATAGTGGGGATCCTCAAACAGAAAACACAGGCGACTTCCGAGGTCCTTGATGAGCAAAGAACAGTCTGCTTTTGGTGTTCTTCCATGGCTATTAGGTCACTACCTCAGAGTGTCCTGGGAGCCTTGGTGAAAAATGCAGGCCTATGGCTCTGCTCCAGTTCTCCTGAATCTGCACATCTTGGGGGTGGCCCAGGAATCTGCATTTAAGAGGCCAATGGGTAATTCTTTTGCACGGTAAAGTTTGAGAACCTCAGGTGTCCAAAGATAAAGGCCTGGAGGGTGGGGTGGAGGAGCATCAGGGTGGGACAGAGTTCATCTGGGAAGCTGTGGGTTGGTAGGGAGCTGGGGAGGGTGTCCTGGACGCTCACAGAAGCATGAGCAGGAGCAGAGGAGGAAATGCACTCAGGTGGGAGAGGAGGAGGAAGTGTGAATTAGGAAGGCCAGTGGTTGGCTGTTCTCTGAATGGCTGGTGAGGGAGGTTAGGCTGGCCACGCTTTAGGCATTAAGGAGCTGCTGAAGGACCTCAAGTGGGAAAAGGACCTAAGGAAGGTAGATCTTAGGTGACTTAATCTGATTTCTGTACTGGAGTGGGTGGGAGAGAAGGAGACTCACCAGTACCTGGCAGATTAGCACATTAACAGAGTGTGTCCCTGCTCACCTGTCAGACCTCAGTCTAAGAATTTGTATATTAGGGATTATTGACACCTGTAGTTAATGTTTTCTGCAAAGGGGCTATGTTTATGGACTCCTCTTTAGCATCTTAAACCTATTTAAAAATTTGAAGGATTCTTTGATTTGTGAAGGGCTCTATTATGGGTTGAATTGTGTCCTCCCCCAAAATATGTTGAAGTTCCTGAAACCTGTGAACGAGACCATATTTTGAAGTAGGTTCTCTGCAGAGGTAATCAAATTTAGATGCAGTTACACTGGATTAAGGTAGGCCCAAATCCACTGACTAGTGTCCTATAAGAAGAGGGA